TGATATACAGTATTAATTTACGGTCTGTTCAGGTTTTATTTTTTTCAAGAGAAAGGTTGCAACAATAGTCAGATTTATCCAGACAGTGAAGATGAAAAAGGGTGGAAGAAAAAGACCACAAAAAACACCCATGGAAGTCTATGAAGCATAATCAGCATGCATGTTCAAATAAAAATTGTGCAAAAGTAGCATCAGTTTTTTATATACATTCATTCAAGGGAGGGAATAGATCTTCCATCCCAGCCACTCAAAGAGAGAATATGTGCTGTGATATTCCTGGCCAAGTCATTCTTTTGTGTTTGAGTCTTTCAATCAGTACAGGTACTTTCTTTAATACGGGCAGATACATACAGTGTGAGTTGGTCAAACTATGTGGTTTCTCTTGTGTGGAAACACCAAAATTCCAAATGAAAGAAAGCACTGTATTCTGATGGTAAATTGAGCTAAAGACAGAAAGTAATGGCCCGACAGACCAGAGATTTGTTGAGAAAGGCTGAATGACTTTGCATGTAAACTAGCTAATGCAGCATGAAATCACAGTAACTGTACAACACAGTACCAACTAAGTAGGTTTTTGGTTCTTTTGAGGCTCTAGCAGCTGCATTTTGCATCTTCAGAGAACAAAATGTTAAAATCATGGTATGAAACAAATTCCATTTTCTAAATGGGGTTGGGTCCCTACATGGAGGTTTTTGAAACTGTTTGACTGATCTTGCTCTTCCTCCTCCATCACATTCAGAAAGGGAGTGGAGGACAGTCAGCGAGTACGTAGGCGCCGTCATGTTGTCCACAGAGAGCGCACTGATTCCGCCAGCTCCAGCTCCATCTATTTCACTGCCAGCCAGGGCATGGCCAGCACATATGAAGAGACCAGCGAAGGAGGGTATGTAATGGGTTGGTGGTGCTTTTGTTTTGGCATATTCTTGATCTTGTTTTTCTGGTGGGCTTAGTGTTACACCACCAGTTTCCAGAGCTACACAACCATGCAGCAGTTACTTGGCCACCAAAGTCAAATGCGTCATTGACATTGTCCCCAGCCATTATAGTTTCTCTCAGTAAAATCCAAACCCCCCCCCCCAGCAACAACAATCATTTACCTCCTTTGCTTTTGCAGCTCCACTCTTCTGAGAAAGCATTCTAGAAGATTTTGGAGTGTGTCTAATGTCTATGTCAAGTTTTGCCCTTCAACTAGAAGAGCATTTGTGAGGTCAGACACATGAGAGGTCCTGGCTCGCAATCTCCATTCTGATTCCTCCCAAAGGTGTTCACTGGGGTTGAGGTCAGGGCTCTGTGCAGGCCAGTCAAGTTCTTCCACACCAAACTCACAGCCATGCCTTTATGAACCTTGCTTTGTGCTATGAGGCAGAGTCATGTGGGAACAGAAAAGGGCCTTCCCCAAACTGTTCCCACAAAGTTGAAAGCATAGAATGGTCCAACATGTCTTGGTAAGTTCAAGAGTTAAATTGGAAATGAAACACTCATGTGAATGAGACCCAAGAGAGGATGTCAATTACTAACAGTGCCACTAAAAACTGTAAACTGGTGTCTGCCCCAACTTGGCGGGGCTATGCGCCTTCTCTCGGCTGGGAAGTTGTCCGTTATCTGTGCATCCATAACCAGGGACTGTTAATATTTATTTATAGCAAGTCATATCGTCTTCCCAATATTAAACAATGTTATGGCATGTTTTCCTAATATCGTGGAGCTCTAATGCTTCAGTTTCATGGATCATTGCTAAGAACATCGCCACATACCACACACTGCGGCTTTGACTCTTCCTCTGTCCTGCTCCAACTGCATCCAAATCGGAAGTAACTCACATCATATCTATTTTGCGCCAATTGCTGCTAGCAGGTGCTGTGGAGTATGGAGGACCAGAAATGACTTAAGTATAAATAAATAAATACATGTAGAAATAAATGTCTTGATTTTATTTCCATATTTATTTATTTCCAAATTTATTTATTTATGTATTTCTGTGTCCATATGCAAATAAGTAAAGGCGGACCTAACCTCAGTCTCATGCAGGATTGCTCACAGGAGTGTGATGATCCAGTTCTACTACTTCTGCCTGTCAATGTTGGCTGTTGTGCAGTAGCTGCTGTTTGCAGTGTTGTGTCAGTTCACACTTAAAGAGAACGAGTTCAAAGTACATTTTTTATTGGGATGATTTAGTAACAAACTTACGATCATGTGTTTTGTTATTAATCAAGGGTGTTGGATCATGTCTGTGTGTCGCTCCGGTCATTTTATCACTGAGTCCTGACTGTGAGCGTCTCGTCTCATGAGTCATTTTTCATGATGTATAAATGAGTCTCATAAACTCTGGAATCAAACAAACACTGAGTTACTTCATGTACTGATCAGGTCCTGATAACTAGTGATGAGTGTTTATTAGTTAAAGTGAGAGCAGGGCATGGATGGCAGCTCGGTCCTGTTAATGCGCTCAGACTTCACCAGCCTCTGTAGAACCTTACGGTTCAGGGTGGTGCAGTTGCCATACCAGGCGGTGATGCAGCCAGTCAGGATACTCTCAATGGTGCACCTGTAAAAGTTGCAGAGAATCCTGGGGTCCATGTTGAACCTCCGCAGCCTGGAGATGAAGAAGAGCCGCTGTCTTTGTGATTGAGTCTGTGTGGTGAGTCCAGATCAGGTCATCACTGATGTGAACCCTAGGAACCTGAAGCTGCTGACTCTCTCCACCATAGTCCCGTTGACGGAGAGGGGGGTGTTTTACTCCTTGTCTCTTCCTGTAGTCCACAATCAGCTCCTTTGTTTTGCTGATGTTGAGATGGAGGTTGTTGTCCTTGCACCAAGATGTCAGGGCTCTGACCTCTGTGTAGGCCATCTCATCGTCGCCGGTGTTCGGGCCTATGACGGTTGTGTCATCAGCAGATTTAATGAGGGAGTTGGAGCTGTGGCCATGCAGACATGCATGAACAGGGAGTACAGGAGAAGCTGAGCATGCAGCCCTGGGGAGGCGCCGGTGCTGAATCAGGGTGGAGGATGTGGTGCTGTCTATCCGCACTGCCTGGGGTCTGTCCGTCAGATAGTTCAGTGTCCAATCACAGAGAGCAGTGTTGAGCCCAAGGTTTCTGAGCTTGATGACGAGCTTCAGGGGCACGATGGTATTGAACGCTGAACTGTAGTCAATGAACAGCATTCTCACATGTGCCCCTCTGTGTGAATGGTCCTATCATTTTCCTTTTTTTACACAGCCGTCTTGCCAGCAGTTTGTCTCCAAATTCAAAGTTAGTCTGCCTGGTAAATGTAAATGCTTTTGAAATTCTTTCACAAACTATCTTATTAATCTTAAATTTGAGAGCCATTTTCTTTAACTTTTCTTCTATTTTCACTTGTTTCTTTTTACTTGTAATATCGATGACACAATGTCTTTGAGACGAATGACGTCTCATAGTTTAATGTGGATATTCACAGAATTGTTTCCTCGTAAGCAGTTGGGGATCAAATTGCCATCCCTTAGGCGTGTTTGTCTGTTCCAACAGCCTCAGTGATATAAAAACAGGACAGTGGTCAAAGATAATAATGTTGTGATATTTGGCATTTTGAACCCCAGGTAGGATTTTACTGTCCGGTAGAAAATAATCTGGTCCTGACATACACATTACCTTCCAGTGTTCCAACATTACTATTGGGCAACTAATGCCAGAGCCCTAATATACTGGCAAGATCAACTTCCCCAGACAAATAGACAAATAGATAGATAGATAGATAGATAGATAGATAGATAGATAGATACTTTATTGATCCCGAAGGGAATTCAATCATCCAGTAGCAGTAACATACATTGAACCTACATTAGAATTGTTTTGGGTGAATCTGTTTTTTTTTTCAGTCTCAACAGTCCCAGCAACCAATTTCTGAACCTGTGGCTGGTGACTACCTTCAGATGCTCAGAAGGCATGGAACATCCCTGGTGGCGCATCTCAGTTCAATGCATGTTGCCGGAGACTGGTTAAGATCCAGTATGCTCCGAGACAGGAACTGGGGATATGCCTCCAGTTGAGCGGGAGATGGTAGCCTTAACGTCTCTGGGTTCAGAGCGGGTTAAGGCTAATCCATGCTAGTCCACTGAAAGAGTGTGAATTGTCTGACTTTTAGTGCAGGCACATGAGCAGCCCGTTCAGGCAAAGTACTTGTCATTTTATTGGCAGCTCTTAGGAGAACAGACAACCCAGAGGACAAGGACACCATGAGCCTAATAGACAGTCATTCATTTCCAACTTACAAGGGACATTAGTACAGCAATGTCATCTGCCATAATGTCATGAAGATTTGGTTGGTGCAGAAAACTCTGCCCAAAAGAACTGACCAATATGCCAATCATGCCAGCAGTGTTTCATGCTGTCTCCCAGGGTGTGTTAGATAAGGTTGAACAGCCTCACGTTACCAGAGAGTGTGTACAGCGCACGTTAAGAAGGGCTGTCATCCTGGGTGCTCATAAAGAGCCATGGATGTATGGCAGAAGGATGAGATTAGGCCTGGGAGGATAACAAATTTTGCTGGATGATATATTGTCACATGAATTATCGCCAATAAACGATATTATTGTCAACATGATAATATATAATAATAATGCACACCCTTTCAAAGACAATAAACTTTTATTTCTCAGTGATTTTTACCTTTTGCGATGTAGCGAACTTCACTTTCAATGAGCGCACACCATTTTGCGCTGTTCCGTTTATATTTACTTTGTCGACCGAACGCCTCAGTGAGTGTTGACTGTCGGGACGAAGGCTCTGCATCTCGAGGTGCACTTTGTTTCCCCAGCTGGCAGAACACGTCCCATCTTAGACCTACAGCGGTTAAATGCCTACATAGACATACTGCCTTTCAAGATGCTGCCATCTCTTTCACTGCCTCCTGCCTCCAGCTCTCGAGAGCCACTCGGTCATTCAATTTAACTTTGTTTAACTTTATCAGAGATTGTCTTTGAGAGGGAAAAACACACTTAGAGGATACTGCAGCATGTCTAAATGACTGAAACTGTCTGGCTGTGAATATAAAATAAGGCAACTGTTGAAGGAGCAAGCATCCCAAAAACAGGGGGGTTCGCTGTTAAAATATATTGATCCCGGGAGTGGCGGCAAGGAGGATGCTGAACCACCGAGCCTAGAGACCGCTAGCACAACAAGCATGTCTGTTAAAGTACAGACTTGTATGACTTCTATCTCTTTAAGTTCCTTTAATGAGCAACAGCACAGTACAAGAACGTATGCCTATAACAGCATTTAGAGCGGTCCCGCTGCAGTTGTGCAGCACGCACTGCCGCCAACACTCTGTGCGCACCCTCAAGATGCACTGCTGATAAGACAGCCTTTGTTCTTGTGCTGTCATGACTCATGGTATGGATCCGCAAAATGCATGTTGCATCATACTTTAATACTGTTAGCACTTTGCGCACACCAGCGTTTTATTAGCATTTTATTTGTACGGCGTATTGGCATTTGTGTGTTGTTGCTGGTATGGTACGTTGCAAAAATTGGGGTTAAATCTTTGCCTAGAGCGTCGGGCCTGGCCAGCAGGTTTCAACTTATCTCTTCAAAATCTCTCTCGGTCTTGTCTTCTGACATATTTATCACAAATAAACGATCGTAACATCCTATCTCTGCTGTTGTCGTTATGCTGCCTCTCCAACCAACATAATATCAACATGGTATTTATTTTATTTTAGACCTCCATAATATTAAGGTGGATGCAGAGATCTATGATACATTATCTATAAGCCTTGACAAATAAAACAAATTACCATCTAGAATTTTTTTTTTCTTTCAAACTTTTTTGAATTTCACAATTTACACACACAAATCATAAAGAACACAATTCCCACCCCACAACGTACATCCCCTAACCCCTGCCGTCACTCAGTTGGCCGAACTGACTCCATGCACATATCTGAAGTGTATACACAATGACAAACCATCGTAATTCAAGGCACTAGTGCCGTGTAATGAATTTAAAAAATGTAAGAAATATATAAGATATCATTAGAGGTCAGCTGCATGTGTTTGTCAAGGGTCCCAGAATAATAATGTCATTATTCATTCCTTTTTTCAAGCTTCAGGTTAAACAGCACTTCCTTTATACAGTGGGAGACTGAGGGTGACGCAGCATCCTTACACCTCAAAAGTATCAGGTGACGAACCAAAAGGGCAGTGAAAGCTATGACCCTATGACCCCCATCAGACAACTGCATCCCCTCAGGAATTATTCTTAACAGCAAAATAAGGGGGTCTGGATCAATTTTAACCATTAATGCTATAGAAAGAGCTTTGAAAAAGAGCTTTCCAATACTCTTCCAGGTTGTGGCATAGCCAGAATATGTGAATCAGTGTTGCATCCGCCGATTTACACCTGTCACATGCCGGGTCAATTTCTAGGTATAGTTCAGTGAGTTTGGATTTGGATAGATGCACCCGATGTACCACTTTAAATTGAAGCAGAGAGTGTCAGGCACACATGGAGGAAGAGTGTACTCTCTTCAAAATCTTTGTCCAAGTTCCCTTATCAATTGTTATTTGCAAATCTTGTTCCCATGCATTCCTAATAGAGGACAAGGAAGGGCACTACAAGTTAGAGATTAGCCCTAGTATAGATGTAATTGCACCTTTGTCTGTTGGATTAGAAGACATGATACTATCAATTATTTTGTTGGAAGGCTTATTGGAAAATTGGGGGACAAACCCTGTAATATAATGCTTTATCTGTAAATATAAAAAAAATGGGAACTGGGTATCTTAAATTTTCTTGACATCTGTTCGAAAGAGGCAAATTTGATGTCCATGAAGAGCTCACAAAAACATTTCAAGCCCCTCCCATGCCACACGTTGAATTCTGTGTCCTGAGTTGAGGGTGCGAAGAGATGGTTGAATGCCACTGGGCTGGAAAGGCTTGTAGGTTAAAATCTTTACTGAATTGTGAGTAGATTCTAAGAGAGTGACTGACTACAGGAGTAATGTTAGACAGGTTCACTGGTAAAGGCAAAGGCACTGACACACCTATTAAAGCTGTTCAGATGTGTCTCCATCCCTACCCAAGTGGGACAATTTTTGTCTAAATGGTATGTGTCCAGTATGATACACAATGCAAATTGGATGCCCAGTAATATAGTCAGAAATATGTGAGGGCCATACCTCCATCATATTTTGCTCTTAGCAGGTAATCCTTATGCGTGGTCTTTTGCCATTCTAAATATATGATGTATTATTGAATCTCAAGTTTTGAAATAAGTGCCAGGGATTAATATAGGCAGACCTAGAATTTACTTTTTATTTGGTTGAATTAAAAATGTAAACAGCAATAGTAATAACAAATCAATACTCTGTAGAGTGAAATTGCAATTGCGGTTTCTTGAATATATTTACAACCTTTTCCCAGCTAAATTAATCCTACATAAATAACAGATGATCGTCAATATATGTCCCAGTTACTCCACAGCATATGCTGAGTCAGACTACACAGACCGGGACACAGACAGAGAAGAGCAGGAGCCTGAGCAGGAGCCTGAGCAGGAGTCTGAGCAGGAATCTGAGGAGGATGAAGACAGGAGTTGTGCCACAGTCCTAACCCTCCGCCGGGAAGACTCTCAGGAGGAGGAGGTGGATGAAGGTAGAGAGCTGGAGGAGGAAGAAGATGATCAGGGGAGGCTGCAACTGGTGACTGAAGTTCCCAGTGGGGAGCTGGCTCTCCTTCTGGCGCAGAGTGACATCCTCCACACAGGAGATGCCAGTTTAAAGGCAGAGGGCTTTCGACTCCTGCTGGACAACAGAACAGAGGTCAGTTATAGAACACTGACTTACTGTTTATGTGACAATAAACTAGTGCTGAAAATTATAACAGAAAAAAGGTTATTTGTGTAGAAATTGTCATGTTCAGTGACTATAAACTACTTAACAAATCACAACATGCCATTATCTCAGGGCACTGTAAAAATAGGATGAGATTTTACAATGTTCAGAAACACAACAGTTGCCACAAAGAGCAAACACTTAAGTGGCAGTGGAGAGAAAAAACTATCATTAAGTGGAAGAAACCTCTACCTTGACCAAATCTTGGGGTGAGTGGCCACCTGCCTCAATTTGTTTGGGATGAGAGGTGAGAAATTGATGAAGAGGGAAAAGAGAAAGGAGGTGCTGTTTAAAGGTACTAGAGAGGACCCCCCTTCATGTAAATATAAAGTATTTAAATATAAAGGGTCTTTTCTGGGGTAAAGAAAACTACAATTCATAAATTTAGATGAAATGAACTAGTGAAAACATCATGAGGATTATTCTACATTCAATGTCTGCCAATAGTTCCCTTTCACCTAAATCTTAAACACTGGACCTTTAAGCACTGGCAGAAGGGTTATTGTAATGACAGTAATAGTGATAGTTACAGATGTAACAATCAGTATTTCTCACAGAATAAATTCAATCTATGGTGGTAAAAGGGGTGCATTTGTACGTGCATTAAGGAAATTAGCGCTGCAAACATCAAGTTAGAGATATCTTGTAAGTAAAAAAATGGTTCATGTGGACATGTCCTGTGAACTCCAGAGAATTGGGTCTGGACTTTCTCTGCAGTTTGCCTTTCACACCTGTACAAAGGTTCTCTGCACAGCCACATTCACAACAGCAACAAATCTTCTGCAGGATTCAGGTGAGTGGTCGTACAACAGGCAAAGGCAGGATGTAATGTATTGATTCTAACTAGTAAATGGTAAATGGTTTGTGGTTATACAGCGCCTTTCTAGTCTTGATGACCACTCAAGGTGCTTTACAGTACAGTTCACCCATTCACACATACACACATCTTTTTTGTTCTGTGGGGGCAATTCGGGTTCAGCATCTTGCCCAAGGACACTTCGGCATGCAGATTGGGAAGACTGGGGATTGAACTGCTGACCTTCTGATTTGAAGACAAATGCTCTACCCCTCAGCCACAGCCGCCCAAAGCGGAGATTATGTGTTTTTGTTAACAGCACATCGTTACCAGCATCAGCTTTTCTCACCACAAACTCTCTTGACTTCTTCGACTGTCTTCCTTGTGTATGGCAACGCTTTATCTGGAGGCACTTGTTTTCTTCTTTTTTTCCTTTTTGTGCCTGTTAAAAGATTCATCACCCCCCAAACAAAGCGACTCCTCTGGACATTCTGCAGACTTAATACAAAGGAGCCCGGGCTCTCTTATTTGCTTTTACACATGCACCTGCTCTGAAGAAACTCTGGATGATCTCCAGAATTCAGTGCATGTCTAAAAGCAGCATAAGAGACTTTGTGGATACAGATTAGAATATGATGGGCTGTATGGCTGTGTAAGACCTCTGGTAAAACCCAAAACAGATTATTTTCATGTATCTGTTTTTGGTTTGAACTGGATTGAGGATGAACTATATTGGGTTTGTGGGGGAGACTGAAACAGACTTTGTAAATATACGAAATAAACTCTGGACGTTTAGACTGTGGGAGAGGCACACACACCCTATTTTGTTTACGTTATTCTATGTCAAGTCAAGTCTAACATGTTCTTAAGTGTTCTTCTCTTTACTTTTCCAAATGTTCCAAAGGAAATTTTCTCCCCAATTTTTCTCATGTACCCAGTACAACCTGCCCCCCAAATCTCAATAACAGAGGTCTGAACTGAATTGTGGATTTGGAGAATCATTAAACTAAGCGGGCTGCCATAGTCGAGATAATTAATGGGAGATACTGTAAAGATGTTTATATTAACAGCAGCAATGATAACAGCACTTCTTAATAAATGTTTTATTAAATAAATTGTTATAATCCAATAAGTATATTCTGCCACAGGTGGACTTCAATTAAGTTGTACAAACAGCTCAAAGATGACAGAGAAACGGGAGGTACCTGACCTTTATGTCAAGTGCCATGGCAGGGCAGAGGATGTCACACCTTGTTAAAGCCCTATGAGAAGAATTGTGATTTGTGAATATAGGCTAAACAAATACATTTTGATTCATTAATTACCTTTGGTGCCCCCTCAAAGTTATTTTGGCCCTTGAAAATCAATATACCAGAAAAAGTGTGTGATGGTTTTCTTGTTTGGTGCTTGCAGTATGGAGACAGCAGGGAGTTTCTATGGAGACTGGCTCGGGCCTACATTGATGTGTATGAGTCCACTGAGGACAAGCAAAAGAAGATGATATATGCACAACAAGGTAACTAACTAACCAATACACACACGTTTGTATAACGCTTACTCAAGAAAAAAGTCGTACTCACACTTTATCAAAGGAAAAAAAAGAGCACATTAACAAATGCTAAACTGCTTTTGCATCCTGCTAGAACACAGTAATCTTACTTAAGAGAAAAGTTTAAAAGTTTACATCTTCAACAGATTTTGGAAATAAACTTAACTGGTGTTGCAGGTCGTATGGAGGCAGAGCTGGCCCTGAAGAAGAATGGCCTTAACGCTGAGTGTCACAAATGGTAAGATGATAATGAACTTTTCCCTGACATTCTGTTTAAATATTGCTCCATTGAGTGGCGACGTGGTTATATTTCTATGTCTCAGTTGTTCTTGTTTTTGGCTCCAGGTTTGCTGTGCTGACAAGACTGAGCTCCCAGTATGAGGGCATGCATGGCAAGCTGAAGAGCAGCCTCTTACTGAAGGTAACGTCTCATTGATAAAAAAACTGAATATTGAGTTGTAACTGATTGGTCATCAGTGTGTAGAGGTCTGTATAGTCATACTGTGTGTGGACAGCCATGTTTTATACATTCAAATGCTAAGGTAAAGCAGCTGTGGACAACAGATAGGATAAGAATACATTCATTCATAGATCAATGACTTTCCTGCTTTTAAATATTTTGTACCGAATTTGGTTGAAGAGGTGGAACTGAAAATAAATATGTATATTTCAAGCATCAATCTGTTGTTGTAGCAAGTATTTAGTTTGAAACACAGGCACCTTATAAACTAACCCATTGTATGTAAAATGAGTTAATAATCCATACATATGTTGTGTTCCAATCATGATTTGTTTCTGGAAGTGAGATCATGTTCATTGTATGCTAACATGATGTGTTCCTTGTGCCTGCGAGACAATGCCAGTTCTGCCTTTGTGTGAAGGTAACCTCTGAGCTGCTATAGTTCGTAAGTGGCTCAGGCAGTAGAGTGTGAATGGCAAAACCTGTGGTGTAATGAGCTTTGAGTGGTAATCAAGACTACACTGCCAGTCTGTCTGCATTGAGTATAATTTGCCAACGGCTGTAGATGAGGTTCCTCCACCTCGGGACGAATGTGTATATGTATGTGCGCACATGCACAAAGATGCTGACAACTTGACTCCCGCTTTGAAGCACACATGTAGCGTTTAGAAAATGCTGTAGTGACAAAGAGAAGCATGTGAAATGACATAAACTAGGTTTTGTTCAGTAAAGAGTAAGACTGATTAATAACCTTATCAAACCACCTATTTAACAACCACATAGAAATGTGGTAGTTTCATGTATTTGGTCTACAGGCGACATGTTCTTATTTATGTTGTGTTCATCATTTGCTCTTACCTAGTAACATCTATACTGATGCTTACACCTCTGCAGAAAGTTACCAAGATTATTCATATGGACCCTGCTATAACAGAGATATACTCAATTATTCAAATTGTATTGTGATATGTTATAAGGTTTTATATAAATTGTTTGACCTTGAAGACGACCTAGTAACCTACCACCTATGATTTTAGACTTCATAATTAATTCATAATTCAGAAGTTCTAACTTTATAACATTGCTTTTTTTTGGAGAATTAAAACTAACAGATAATGTTAAAACTACACAGCAAACTGGAGTCCCTGCTGACAAGGATGGTGACAGCTGTCATCTGGAAATCTTATGATTGTATGACACAATGTACATATTGTTTTACCATTTCTTATCCCAGTTCATGTTGAGCTTCTATCTTGGGAGTTTTGTAGAGAATTTGTTTTTTACACCTAGGAGCATCTGGAACGTGCTATCTTCCTCAGAGATGATGACCCCATGTGTTTCTACCTGCTGGGTAGATGGAGCTATGAGGTGAGCTAGAGGGATGTATTGTTCTTGTTATGTTTGACTATGGTCTTACCAATGCAACTTCATCATCACACTTTCAAACGGTATAATACCTCTGATATGAGTGTTTCAAGTGTTTGTGTCTCTGCAGGTAGCCACCCTGGACTGGATTGAGAGCAAGGCGGCTGCTGCCCTCTACCACAGCCCCCCCTACTCCACCCTACATGACGCCCTTGAGAACTTCCTCAAGGTATAGGATTACAGAGTGCTGCTGCTTTGGTCTAAGGGTGTTTAACTTAGGTTTGGTTTGCTCTGGTCACATTCAGTGGATAAACTGAGAGTTGTTAACATTAACTAATTGTAATCTGTCTGAGTGCGACTTAACCCAGCATTGTGCTGTTCTTTTAATCCCTACATGTTGTTCTAATCTTTGTAATGGAATCTCGGGATCTATGGTGTCAAATGCAGCAGTTAGATCTTGCAGCAGTTTGATGTCATGAAAAGGTCACCAGTCATTAACAGCATTGTGTATGTGCTGTGATGGATTCTAAATCCTGATTGAAAGCCTTCAAACAGACCATTCTTTTGCAAATCATCACACAACTTGTGAGCAACAACTTAAGAAATGAAGGGAAGGTTCAATATGGGTCTGTAATTAGCTAAAAAGAAAGAAGGTTGCTAGTGGCATAAAGCGCACTGGATAAAGAAGCCTGTTGAGCTAAAACTTAAAGTATGTGTTCCCACTACAAATTAACCACTCCAGAATTGTGATCAGACCTAGACCACCAAGTGCTGGGGTGATCACTCAACCTAAACTCTGCACAGTTATTACAGTTTAGAGGCACAGGACCTAATGTTCTGTGGCTGGTATCAACCCAGGGACAATTAACCACAATGCAACGATGAAGTTGACTTCATTCAGTGGGTCTTAACTGTTCATCTGCTTTTCAGTTAGTAATGATATTTTATATGGGAATATGATTATTAAACAGAATCTTTGTATTGTGTGCTATTTGAACACCCAGGCAGAGGAACTCAGTCCAGGTTTCTCCAAGACTGTGAGACTTTACATTGCAAAGGTAAACAAGCTGCTCACTGACACACTGTACTTTTTTAATACATGACACAGATTTAAAGGAAGGTGTGATTAATAAACTGAGTATATATATATTTGAAGACTGATTGCGTCACAGCTTTTCACATTACATTTTAAAGTCTCCTCCAAATGCTTCCTTCCACCCCAATTCATGGTGCCTCTCTGACAAAGTGTTTTTCAAAGAGGTAATGGCGACAGCAAGCAAGGCAAAAACGTTAGAATTTATTTTGAAATGAAAGTACTCAACTGAACAACTAATGTTAGACATGTTAAAAAATAATTTCTCAATGTTTTTAATCAACCTTTCTCGTCCATAGCTCTGTAGCTAGATGACAATTTTAAGGTTGGGACAAGCTGGTAATTCAATAAGAAGACCAGACCATCTCATTACGGTTCAAAAATGCATCGAACGTCATCTGCATAGGTCGGTTCTTATGAAGAATGTGGATCCAAAGCATGATGGGAACTGTATTTCCAAACTTAAAGAAAGGGTGAAAAAAATATTTAAGATTTTTGTTTTCCACCATCTGTAAATGTTTGCATCAATATGACTCTTGTATCTTTGGGACACTTACTCTGTGTTCCAAAATCAAATTTTTTGTAATTCTGGGGACGGTGACTATTGTCAAGAGGTCAGTTGGAGTCCAGGGAAGACTGGAGAAAAACCAGGGAAGACTGGAGAACGACTAGGAAAGACTGGTGACTGCAGCGGGAGTGTGGGGGCTAATAACCCTACCTGCTAGTTTCCTAAGATGAGACATGCAACAATACTATGAAGCCTACACAAAGGAAACAGCCCAAAGGCCCTCCAAGAGGCGGGATGGAAGATGGATGTACCAGGACAGATGTTGCACTATGGAACGCAAGGACAAGTAATAACGAGATGAGGATTCATAGGGTGGGTGTGGATGGGAGAAGACAACAACAATCAGGGGGGTGCGTATTCACATGGGGTAGACTTGCACCCAATCTCATTTCACCCCTTCTCCCTACCCTTTGGGTTATCTTGCCCCTTTAAACGGCGTTAAAAGGGGTAATGGTTGAAATCTTCCCCTATGAATTGGGACAGCATTTCAAGAAGCTGTTACATCATCAGTCAGAAGTCGTCGCGAAAGCCAGAAACATCATCAATAGTCGTCGATGTAAACAGACGCGACAAAACATTTTGCTGGGGATGTCATTGTTATAACATTGAGATCTTAAATAAACCAATGCTATTGCTTTCAGTTACTAAACTGACAAACCTATAATAATCTAATAACATCTATGCTAATGCATAGAAAAGCTTGGATGCTCAAGCATGCATGAATCAAAAGCACACAGCTTCAGCTTGCTAGCTGTGGTCTGTAGACAACCCTGCGACAACCCTCGGCCTGACCAAGATCGACTCAAGCCAGCTGCCTGGAAAGTACAAGGTATGGTGCTTTAGCATTATGTTGTATTCAAGGGTGATGTGGCCACTGGAGCTATGGGAAAATCAACTCTTCAGCCGCAAGCAGAATGGAAGCAAAGCCAACTCGTTCATCCACAAATGACTAGTACTTCCAAAGTGCCTCTCAAAAGCAGGCCAATCTTGTGGTCCAGAGCCAATGGGGAGAGGAAGGACCCAGTTATTTCTGAGGACACACGAGTGTAGATACCACCAGCAAGATACCTGCACCCTTGCTCTTCTTGTCTAAGACAGAATGGAGATTGGAGGTTTACCTTGGCAGGCAGCTCCTTTTTGGATCTGCATCACCACATTGCGACCTGAAATGATGCTCTGGTCAGCTGAAATAAAATCAGCAGAGCTGAGCAGGTTTCACAACCTACCTGCTCAAATCAACTCATATACAAAAAACACCAAAAGAATTTAAACTTAAAATAAGATTGAAAATCCAGCAAAAACAGGAGCAGATTTTAGCTATAGGCCAAAATATCAGGGTGTCTTTTCTTGCCTTTCCTTCACTGCCACATCATCAGTGTGTTACTGTTGTGAAGTCAATGAGACTAATCATATTGTTGTGCTCATAGTGTCACAAGGAACTGGGAAACATATCGGAGGCCACAACCTGGACTCAGCTGGCTCTGAACATGACCACTAACAGTGACAACGTGAGAGCACACCTCACCCTTCTAACATCGATCAATCAAATATTATTTGTATAGACCTCAACAAGAGTGAGGAAAAACTACCAAAGAACCCCCTATTAAATATTAATAACAACAAATTTTAGTTCATGATGTGTGCTTATCAAAGTTCATGTTTGATAAGCACACATCTACATCTTCCATAAATTTGACTGTACATTGTCCAATATGACCACATTTGCATGCCAAAATTTGAAATAGTCATAGCACCACTTACTGGCAAAAGAATGCACACCTCAACAAGATTTAACACCTTGCACTGTGCAGATACATGACGTAATACCAGGCCATGTCAACCAACGACCAGCAACTGCACGCTGACAGTTAAAACTTGCAGCTTTAATTTCTGTTCATTGTTGCCTTTTCATTGTTTTCTAGGATGAAGAATCATCCAAACTGGAAGCTCAACTTGTGGTCTTAACTGACGGAGCAACTGAACAATTCATTTCGACTGAGGTCTGCCAGATGGAGTCTGGCTAGTCAGGCCACCCTTCTGTGATCATTCGGCCCAATGTGCTTTACAAAAGGCACAATCATTTTCTTTTCCTTCAATTGGTGGATATCTTTGTTATGCTGTCACTGTAAAATTAAGTTTTTTAATGTTGATTTATTTCCTGCTGACTTTACTATGCTTCATTGAATCAGTATTAGTAATTAATATATATTTTTGTGTACATGGTATCTATTATCTGTTAACTATATGCCTAGAAGTCATTGATTTAACACAGGTCATTTTATTTTTCAGCACCATAATGTGAATGCAACAGAATATATTCACCCAAATAACCAAAAAGCTTATATTTGAACTTCCCTTTAGTAATTCATAGTCATTGAGCTATCTCAAGGACCAGACAAATGAATCCATTTTACACAGCTAGATACCAGAGGTAAGGTCATTTTAATTTATTCTTTAGTTACAGACAATTAGTCTGATTTAAGGTACCTACGTGTGGTGGCTTTTAACATAGGGATCAATACGACTCAGTGTCAGAGTGCCACAGTGGAACAAGATTCACACTAGTCAAACAATTTTCCACTACAGACACTGAATATTTAGTAATATGCGATGGTAAAATTATTTGGAGGCAGGATTTTTTTAATGGAGTAGTCTGGTTGTGACTGTGCAAAGTATCCTAATGTTTTTGATTTTACACTTGTTCCAGAAGTGAAACTACCGATGAATTATTTGATCGAGTCATCAGTTTATCATCTGACATCACTTTAGTTGTACTATTAAAGTACTAGTTTCTATTCCCTGGAATTTATTTATTTATTTATTACTTTTGAAAATACTTTTGCTGTGAGTTAACAAGGGATATAAGAAGTGATCATTTCCACAGTATATGAATAAAAAAAATATTTTGCATGCATTTCAGTGACACATGGATTATATTTAATAAACTTCTGTTTTCACATTTATGTCTTATAAAGTAGTAGTTGTGTGTATTGAAGCACCCTGACACCACTCTACCTCAGGTATGTTCAGGATGTGTGTAACCAACAACAACATGGGGACAGCTCAGACAGTAAAAAATTCCTCCCGTGATATTGCAACAGGTTTAATTTAATGGTAAAAGAACTAGTGGTTTGACTGAAGGAATTAAAGGCAGACAAATGTTATTATATCTTTCTGTGTTCATTGTAAAATAATGTTTCAACTACCTTCTGAAAAAAAGCTTCACCATTAGACCCCCCCAAAAAGGCACGACTCGACAGAAACTTAAACAACAAATGAACATAAAGATAAATGTCACAAGCTTTTGCAAATAGTTTTACAATACTTTCTTTTTTTTTTAAAGACTCTACAGATGAAACTGCAGCACATTCAACAACGAAAACAACTTTTTCTGTCATTACGACTTAGTGACTCATAATTATGAGTTGTGACACATTACAGGTAGGGTAAGGGTTAGAAGTAAAGAAATTCTTTCTAGAATATAAACCTCATAAGATTTTTTGTGATTATGCAGATATTACCTCCAAATTATGAAGTAGTATACCATAACTATGATATTCCGTCATAACTGTATTAAACAGTTTTGTTTTTTACTTTGTTGAATACACAAAACAAATCTTTTAATGTCACAGCAGTATCAGTGAGCTTGCAGGGCATAGAGCCAGGACCATCTTGTCAGCTCTGCCTCTGGGAAGCCAACTCAAAATCCAATGAGCCCATCTGTGGCTTTGTGTTCAGGTCATCGTCATTCAACAAAGCAGTCCAAGAAACAAGTGAGCAGGTGATAGAGCATTTACCAGCACCCTGTAGCTTCCTCTTTATGCCCACTCAGTCCTTGACATCGCCCACTCCGTCAGCATTGATAGCAAACATGGCTTCAGCCTCTGGCAGGCAGGGCGAGTCATAGATTTTACAAATCCTTGTTTCTCCTCGACCTTTCCTCAGGTACAGACTGCAAGAACAAGACACAGAGGTGTCATCAATCTGCAGCAGTCAAAGCCTTCTAGATGCTGTGACGTGTGTTAACTATCTGCTCCTGTGTTGTCATCCAAGTGTCAGTAAACCCCGGCATTTAAATTCAACTCGAAATGGTGCCTAAATGTCCTCTGCTATCCTCCTCTGGAGCCGTGCTCGTATGTGGATCACAGCAGATGTTTGGGCTAATAACATGGTGTAAATAACACTATTACAAGTCGCATTTGAATATCAGGGCTTACGGACACTTGGATGACACCACAGGAGCAGTATGGAGGCATTTCATTTTTTACATTTGAAATCGGTCATTTATTTCAATGGTATTTGGTTTGACTGCAACGCTGTTTACCCCTGAATGTGTTTTGTGGACTCAAACACTTCACCCACCCCACCATTGGCATAGTGGTGAGTAGATGAGAGAATTTTGCATTTTTCAGTGAACTATCCTTGTCTCAACTAAGAACTTGTCACCATTCAGCAACAGAAAGACACCACACAGTATTCTGTTTACAGGGTGAGGACATGAAAGCATTCACTTGTTATCATAGAATTATTTTAAACATTCAGTTTTTCACTGAGGGAAATATTACTATGATGGGAACAAATGATTTGCTCTTTCATGTTTTGTGGTGCAGTGGGATGAGGCATCTCCTGATGATCAAGGAGGTGGAGAATAATGTCAGGATGAATACAAACACTGCATCACTCACCGTGTGGTGGAGGCATGAGCCATTATGTTGCCACCAATTGGTTTCTTGGGATCTGCAGAGAACATGGCTGCCCCATCTACCTGTGCTACCACCTGATTGGTTATCACCACAGCAACGCCAAACTATTGTGAAATAGGTCAGACAGAAATAGTTGTTACAGACAAATCACTGCAAAATTCCTTGGTTGTCTCAAGGTAAGTCTCAAGTCCTAACGATGAAGTTCCAAGTCAAGTGCCAAGTAAAGATAGAGATGTCCAAAGTCCCACGTCAAGTCCAAGTGCTTAAACTTATTTTTCAAGACCTAAATAAGTCAATGTGCCCTCTTTGACAAATGAATTGCTCTTGCATTCTAGCCTACAGAGTAACACTAAGTGTACTAAATTAACACAAATGTCTATCATTTTCAAATAAACTTCAGAAATGAAAGAAACACTGATAAAACAGCAAATTTTCATTTACAAACATACATTCTTTCACAGACGAGACAGATGACAGTGAATACTGCTTCTGAACACTACTGAATAAGCAAGTTGATATGCATAAGTGGGTGAGTGAGGTGCGTAAGTTAAGTCTGGGTATGGGTGAGTGAATGAATGAGTGAGTGAGTGAGTGAGGTTTGTGTGTGAGTGAGTTGTTTTTACAGTTTGTAATGTTTGTAAAATTCGGGGTTCGCATCTTGCCCAAGGACACTTCAGCACGCAGTTGGTTAATAATAGGCATCACTGTGTGGACTGTGTAGTTTCAGAGTAAATTGCCACAGTTGTAATAGACAGTGAATTTGACTAAAATAGAATAAAAAGTGTGGATTGGTCTTCATGGTGTCCTGATTTCTGTCCTATATAGAAGCACATGAGCGCATGACATTACCAGAACATCTTAGATCCTTTTCACGCCAACATGTCGCCAGTGATCTGATCACAGGTGGACATTAGAATGTGTCTCTTATTTTCCTGCTCTATATTAAAATAAACATACACATCATATGTGACAGTTGATATTAATATGGTGGCAGTGACCACAAATAAGTGTATAAATAGTGTATTTACTTTTTGTTCATTATGAACCTGTACAGGGTCAGAGGATGTCAGCTCAGTAGATGATACTTTAATGTGTCCCACAGTGCATTTGCATAAACACTGCTAAAAGAATGCGACCAAGACCATCTCTGAATGCGGTCAGTAATTAGATCTCCTCAATATGTCTCAGGTACATTAACACCTGCAGTTAAAGCTGTCCACCTGTGACTGGAATACTTGAGGCAGACATTAACACCACGTGTTAACAGGGCCTCAGTCTCCACATACATTCTGAGAGTCCACCTGCACCAGGCCCAGCTGCCTACCTCGTCTGCCAGCCTGAGCAGCATACGGAGGAAACGTCCCAGGTGTCCCTGTCTGGCCGACAGCTCTCCTCTGCCCGAGTAGTCTGTTCTGTACAGAGCAGTAGCACTGTCCACTATCAGTAGAGCATACCTGTTACATAAAAAGTTGTGAGTTACACACCAGGACCCTGAACATTCATGCTCAAATATTACTGCAAATACCTGCTATTGGACATATGCAATAAGCATCAATCAATTGAGGGTCAAATGAAATGTGGATAATAAAGTGAAGTTGATAAAGGTCTTGGGTGAAACACATTCTTAGGCACAACAATATTAGTCCTGACTAGGGCTGTTGGAATGAATTTAGAGATAAAAACAAAAGCCAAATACTTTTTTTGTACATAGCTTTACACAATCACACACTCTCACTTACACACACACACTCTCTCACACACACACTCACACTCTGACACACTCTCTCACACTCTGTCACACTCACACTCTCTCACACACACTCTCTCACACTAGGCCTGGGCCGATAATCAATAAATCAATTAATCGCACGATAAATTAAAATGAACTCGATAATTTTTCCGGCCTCGATATATCGCCATGTGCATGCGTGTTTGTTTTCCTCGTCTCTCGCCTCCAAGCAGGCTGGATGACAAGAGGGTTCACTCTGTGCTTGGTCTCAGCACCTGGGGGCGTTGGTTCCATAGCGGAATGAACGGAGTGAACCCTCTTGTCAGTCATCCAGTCTCTTTGTCTCTGTGGGGGGAGGCGGGGCCGCTAGCATTAGCGACCCAGTGTTCCCAGCTGGGGAAACAAAGTGCAGCTCCAGATGCAGAGCCTTCGTCCCGACAGTCAACACTCACTGAGGCGTTTGGTCGACAAAGTAAATATAAACGGAACAGCGCAAAATGGTGTGCGCTCACAGAAAGTGAAGTTGGCTACATCGCAAAAGGTAAAAAACACTGAGAAATAAAAGTTTATTGTATTTGAAAGGGTGTGCATTATTATTATATATTATCATGTTGACAATAATATCGTTTATCGGCAATAATTCGTTTTAACAGAATTCCCTAGTCCTAAAAGATAGTCATTATTGTCAGTGGCATTAATTTTCATGTAGACTCCTCCCATCTGCCATAATTTGTCTTCTCTGCACCTCAATATATTTAGTTATCTTTGATCCCGATTTGTCCTTTGATTATAATTTAAAACCCATTTCTGCCTTCTTTCACTTATGTTATATCTCCAAAATAGGTCATTTCCTGTCTCATAAAAGATGCAGAAAAATAGTCCCTGCCTTTGTGACATCCAGACTTGATTTTAGTAATTCCTTATTATCAGGCTCCAGCAGTAAGTCATTAAAGACATGTCCTGACAAGAACCAGCAAAAGAGACCACATTTCTCCTGTATTAGCTTCACTACACTGGTTTCCTGTAAAATCCAGAATTAAATTTAAAATTATCGTCCTCACTTACAAGGGCCTTAATAATATGGAACCATCATACCTTAAAGAACTCATAGTACCATATCACCCCACTAGACCACTGCACTCCCAGAATTCAGGCTTATTTGTAGTTCCTAAAGTCGAGTAGGAGCCAGAGCTTTCAGAGCTAGTTATACAGCAAAAGGTCTAGAATGTCAGGGGTGGACATGACACGAGCTTCTCTTTCCTCTTCTCCCTCTCATCAATACATGTTACTGATTTTACTTTTTCCCGGAGTCCTTGTGCTTTATTGTTTGCAGATCCAGGACTGCAGCTACAGTCACATCTTGGATCATGATGGTGGATCGCAAATCAGAGGATGTGATAGCGGCTCATGGATCATGGTGGTGGTGGATCATCATGTCGCCTAAGTTCAATTTATCGTACAGAATATGTGATGGGGACAAGCAATCTGTTCTCTTTGCCTGCACATAATATAGTCTGTACATTTTCTGTCAAAAACCCGAATTTAAAATGATAAGAGAATGGATCTATGTCTCTATTTTTGTATACGAATGTCATAAATGGGGGGAAGTGACGTCCCAGGGGAGCGAGCAAGCCAGTGACGGGCAAGCAACGAGCAAAGATTTGTCAGGGGGCTGGTCGAAGGAAATCACTACAAAGGAAAAAAACTGCATTATTACCTCGGTGAAACTTTCTGGGATTACCGTTTGACCAGGACTTTTTTTCTTGGCAGTCAGAGGTGGTGAGAATAGTGTGAATTCTCCTTATATTTCATTTTATGGCGTCTCACCACGCCACACTTGCTTTAAGTTTGTTTGAGAAATGTTTTCATTTGGGACTAAATTAAACAGATTATATAAATTGATGAACTGGGGGAATTATTATTTTTTATATTTTATTATATTATATGAACTTTGGGTTTTGTATTTGTATTGTTTGGGTTTAGATGTCTTGCTCACCTTCTGGTCTTTGTTTGTGGGATAATTTCCATGTGGGACAAGTGAATAGTTATTTTCTTGGCAATACAAGCTGATAATTGTAGCCAGTTTGTGTCTATTTATTTATCATATGTATATTTTCATATTTTAATGAGACAAAGATGTCATCTATTATTATATTGTGATCTAATTTTAATGTCATTAGTTAATTGTAAGGTCCGGCGTCCGTACACAGCATGTCAGATCCACCCGTTCTCCATAAAAAAAATGATTTTCCCTTTTTTTTTTTAAACAAGGTGAATTGTTACTGTTTCTTCTAATCAATGTTGTAAATACTGTTATTTTGCTGATGTTGCTCAGTGTTTCAATGTCCGTAATTGGAAACTATTACCATAACTAGAGATCTCATCACTCCGAGATTGGGTACCAAGCCCCAGTTGAACTAGATAGCCTTAACACAAAGGCAGAAGCCCTGAGATTGAAGATCATAATCTAAGATGGAAACCTGGAATCCTTGTGGCCAATTACCCAGACTGAGTAAGAAAATATGTATGTATGATATATATGTATGATGTAAAAGTCTGCTAGAAGATGGAAATGCAGCAATAAGCACTATCCATACTGTGACCATCACCTAGAGGTGCTTGGCTACAAGATGAACGCCATGAACCATAAGGAGCAATACCTCCAATGGAGAAGACGGCTAGAAGCCAAAATCAAAGCAACACGGAGAGAAGTTAGTCAAGCACCATAGAATGCTTGGAACTGTACAACATCAACGAGACACTAAGAGCCCTCATCAAGAACTCAACAGGGCTGTGGAAAACAAAGCCCATTATACAATTTACCATCAAGTGCGGAATATACCATGGAAATGCCCTGTCCCCACTGCTGTTCTGAGCCAGATCCTCACAAAGAGAGGCTACGCACACCGATAAGAAAGTGGAGAAAAGATCAGCAACCTATTCTACATTGATGACATCAAGCTGTATGCTAAGAGTGAGGAAGACATTGACTCACTGATCCACACCACCAGAATCTACAGCAAAGACATTGCAATGTCATTTGGAGTAGACAAGTGTGGTCGGACAGTATCAGAGAGGCAAGATGCTCAGAACTTAAGGGATTAACCTACAGTTGTGTTCAAAATAATAGCAGTCCAACATCACTAACCAGATCAATCACTGTTTTTGGTAGAAATTATATTTCTACTTGGCAAATAATTTACTAGTAGGTGTAGTAGGGTTATAGAAAACCAACAGACCCAACAGTCATGACACGCATGCTGCTGATTCTGTGTAAATGAATCATTAATTAAAAGCGGCTTGTTCAAAATAATAGCAGTGTGGAGTTCAACTAGTGAGGTCATTCATCCTGTGAAAAAACAGGCGTCAAACAGGTAGCCAATGTTGTACATGCTAGTTATGKAGCATTTCTTTCWRAAAATTTGAGTAAAATGGGTCGTTCCAGACATTGTTCAGAAGAACAGCGTACTTTGWTTAAAAAGKACRAAGAAGTGCAGAAAATGATAGGCTGCTCAGCTGAAATGATCTCAAATGCTTTAAATTGGTAAACAAAACCAGAAAGACGTGGAAGAAAACGGAAAACTACCATTCGAATGGATCGAAGAATAGCCAAAATGGCGAAGACTCAGCCAATGATCGGCTCCAGGATGATCAAAGAAGGTCTAAAGTTACCTGTGAGTACTGTAACAATAAGATGCCTATGTGAAGCCAAGCTATCAGCAAGAAGCCCCCGCAAAGTCACATTGTTGAAAAAACGACATGTGCTGAAGAGGTTACAATTTTTCAGAGAACACAGTGACTGGCCTAAAGGGAAATGGTGCAACATTTTGTGGACTGATGAAAGCAAAATTGTTCTTTTTGGGTCTAGGGGCCACAGACAGATTATCAGATGACCCCCAAACACTGAATTCAAGCCACAGTACATTGTGAAGACAGTGAATCATGGTGGCGCAAGCATCATGATATGGAGATGTTTCTCATACTATGGTGTCGGCCTATTTATCGCATACCAAGGATCATGGATCAGTTTGAATCGATCAAAATATTTGAAGAGGTCATGTTGGCTTATGCCGCAGAGGAGATGCCTTTGAAATGGGTGTTTCAACAAGGGTTAGACCCCAAACACTCCAGTAAGTGAGCTGCATCTTGGTTCCAGACCAACAAGATTAACGTTATGAAGTGGCCAGCCCAATCCACGGACCTTAATCGAATAGAAAACTTGTGGGCTGACATCAAAAATGTTGTTTATGAGGCAAAACCAAGAAATGCAGAGGAATTGTGGAATGTAGACAATCATCCTGGGCTAGAATACCTGTTCACAGGTGCCAGAAGTTGGTCGACTCCATGCAACACAGTTCTCAGAAAACAGTGGTAATATAACTAAATATTAGTTCAATTATTCACAGGAAAGCTAAATCTTCAAGCATTTTTCAGTTTATACAGTAAATGTTTGAGTTTGTAAAGAMAA